GCAATGCTTTACCTGTATAATTGTGTGTGTTGGGTATCTAATTATAATAGTTTACTGTTAAAATAGAGATATTAGCATATTGATATATATTATAGTATATAAAATGTCTTTGATAGACGGCGGGCTTACAAAATAATATCGGTATAACCCTATTTACAGTAATGAGGATAGTTTTTGTATATGGTTCTCTTATGACCTTTCAGAGCTGGTGCAGCATTTTTGAACTACTTCAATGTTTGTTCTCAGGATTGTAGAAATGAAGCCAGTTTCTCCGGTAACGATGCATTCGAAAGCACTGACGGGATTTTAACCAAAAAGCTCTAAAACAGTTTAAAACGTTTAATTCGTGGTGTTTTCAGCGAGCATTCGTGGGAAACATCTGGCACTAATTTTTGAGACGTTCAAAAAGTCATGAAGTATTGAATTATAGATAGCTTGGTCACTCTACTGAGAGTAGGACGACCGGTGAGTCTACTAGATGGAGTGACGACCTGTGCAAATGTACTTACAGTTTTTTAATATTTCTTTTCGTTATTACTTTTTTCAAATGGTCGTTCGTATCCTACATAACAGGATGTGTTCTTAAAGGTAACAACTTCTTACATTGTAATATTTTACTATGGAATCCAAACACATTGTTGAACATGTAACATAACTAATTTTACGAAGTAATTCACTACAACGACGATGCTACTTTGTTGAGAAAATGAGATGCTGACTATGAACAGTTTAATAGCGAAAAATTAACGGTCGAGTTGTAAAGTTTATGCGTTAGTCGTGCAGAGCAGATATAACACAGTGATGAGACATATTTTATCCCATATAAAATCTTAGTCTCTCCTTACAAATCTTATCCATCCATTTTAATTTTGAAAATATATTATTTATAAAAAAATTTTAAAAATTTGAAAGAAAGTTTCAACTCCTTATAAACATAAATATTACTGTTTGATGTAGTAATACCTTAGAAGTAAAATGTCAAATAAAACTGCAGCAAAAAGCATATTGTACGTTTATACATAAAAGTACCGAAAATATATAATAACCTAGCGTAATAAACTGCTGGCTTCCGGATATAAATTCATATTCAAATTCAAATCATTTATTCATCGAAATAATAAATATACATTTCATTTATCGATAGTCATTTTTTTAAATCTACCACCGTTTCGTAATGAGGTTCCTCTAACGGAGAAGAAACAGGCGCAAGAAACTCCGTGGATATCCTATTTTTTGTAATTTTTTTACTCAACAAATACATAGTTATACAGTACATATTTTTTCTTTTTAGAAACAGCTATTATATATATGTATATTTAATATATAATCAATAAATATTTACTAATACATTAAATCAATCTACTTATGATAGAATTTTAAGTCCATAGTTAAACGCACGCATGAACACATGCGTGGCCCTACCCACAGCGGAGGGCCCAAACCCGTGGGTTCTGGCTAGCCCACCGGTTCTGCGTCAGATGAAGCTTTAATAGTCTCGGGGCTGGAAGCAAAAACATCAGTTAATACAAGAAGATTTTAAGTAATGTACCTTGGAAACGTAAATAAGTATTTATATTTATCTAGCGACCCGCCCCGGCATTGCATGGGTGCAATGTATTATACACATAAATCTTCCTCTTGAATCACTCTATCTAGTAAAAAAACCGCATTAAGATTCGTTGCGCGGTTTTAAAGATCTAAATATACATAGGGACAGACATAGCAGGACGACTTTGTTTTCTATGTAGTGACTAAACCATCTAAACAACAAATGGATACCATTTTGTTCGTTTTAAGTATTTTCCGTCTGCCGTAAGTAGGCATAAATTAATGTCGATACACACAAATAGAAAGTATGTGCGCTTGAAAGTTTCGCCCATTTGCCTCGCCACCTTTTAAGGAGGATAGCCTGTTTTCCGCCACGTGGCCCAAAGACAATTGGGGTTCAATCATTCGACGTTTCGATACATGGAGCGGGGAGGTTTTTCGCGGCGGAGGCCGAAAGCTTTCAAGGCGAGTGCGTAACTTTTTCGGCTTTCCGGCAAGGGGAAGCCGGTCCCATTCCTGTTGCCATTAAGTCGTCGAGTTTTAAGCATGCACATTTATTATTATCCTTATCGAGCTCGGATGTATTAACTAAAAAGGGCTCGGGACTTCGATGCGGCACTTCGTCGCAGCCAGATGTTTTATTCAACGCCCTTATGAAATATTACGCCCAAAATAGAACCCGTATCTTTATCTCCTAGCCTTGGCGAAATACGCCTCATACCAAACGGGATGATGAATCGTTTAGACTAGATGTCATTATTACGTATGAAATGTAACATAATATTATCATGACAGAATCATAAATATGTTCTTGGAGCTGTCGAACTAAAATTGGAATTGAAAATGGTAATTTAATTTCATAAGTTGCATGTCGTTGTAGACATCTCAAACAAAAGTTATTTCTGTTAAATTTTAGTTGTTAAACCAGAAATTTATGTCAATAGTTGAATACTAATGATGAGCCATTTACCTTTTTCCTTTCTTAGCCTAGCAATAAATTTTTTGGTGCTATTGAACCCACTTTCTTCTTTTGTGTGGCAATACTATAAAATAAATCTGCTAAGCATGTTATTAGTGTCTCCTTAGTTCTTTTATTCTTTGCCTTATATTGATAATTTAGTAACTCATTGAAATAAGCATATTAATTTTTTTGACAGAAACAAATACTAACTCTTCAAATAGTAAGTTTCTGCTTCAAACTCACGAATTTCTTATATATTCGATTTAGGTTTTATTCGTTTCCTTGATTGTTATGGTAATTAATGAAATTGAAAGACGATTAAAATGGCCTTAATACCTCCCACAGCTTGACATAACGTCGTTGTTGACAAATTATTATTATATAAATCAATTTATACTACGAATACACAAATACACTGTAGTAGCCGGGAAATGTACAAAACGTGAATACTGCATACAAAACTCGGTAGCTCTTAAGAATTGACAATTGACTATCGCAAATTTGTTTCGTTATACGAAAAGTTTTCGCAAGTCCTCGAAAACTCGGTCGATCCTTACCCTTTTGATGTTGGGACCTCCATCCCGTTTATGTGGCGCGTGAAGTATAAATTGTACATTATTTACTCCCGTATTCCCTCGAAGAGTTGGGGAATCAAGTGCTTAGGGACACTCGACGCCGTTCCTGACACACATCACCGAGTTATAATTTTTATTTGTACGATACAGACTGTTATTAAAGTACCGGAAAGTCAAAAAGTATCGTATAAAACGAGTTTTCGTAAACATACACTATGTCAATACTCACGTGCATTGCGAATTTGTATAGACAAACAAGGCGAAATCGAATAGGCTTTCTCTGAGGTTCCTTAAATGCCTAGGAATTATACCTCTATTATAAATAGAATAGAAGATTTATAACGTGACTAATAGTAATGTCATAAAATATTTACATAAATAATGTGGTAAAGATCTTAATCAAAAATTTTGTAACAGCTGAAGCCAAGTTTTCTCTAAAATCTGTTCTGCTACCGTGAATAAATATTTTGCATAAAAACTATTTTTTTAAGTGAGAAAATGGCAAAGGAACTGGCGTTTCACCTGTTGTTAAGCGATAATCGCCGCCCATGGACATTTGCAATACCCGTAGGGTTGCAGATGCGTTTGCCACCTTTTAACAAAGTGGGCCCCGGCTACCTCACTCAACAGACGAAACGCAGAAGTGTAACACTGCTACTTTACGCCGATCTGCTGTGGTACTAACCCGGACGGCCCTACCACAATTAGTTACTTAGCAATTCATGTGCGTGTCTATATGCAAATATTAACGGTGTGACTTTTTATTATTTAATTAATGATATTATATCTTGATATATCTTGTTGGGATTTATGTCTAAATATAATATTATGTAGATCTTATATATTGTAATTTTCGCATGACAATCCATAGCTTCCGAATGTGATTTGAATATTTTTACATGAGCTACATTAGGAGTACAGTGGTAAGTGTCGCCTCCCTTTGTGGAAACATGAACTGTGGGTAGGAATTAACTAGTTGCGTATGTAAACATCGCGTGTCGGTGGCGACTGGTGTAAGGACTCGACGCGGGTTGCCATACGTTAGACGTCTCCCATGTCGCATTGGAGAAGAATCAATCGTTAGGCATAGGTCTCACGTAGTTTCTTGATTATCGAGGCTAAGCTGCCACGTTCTACGCTCTACCACCACTAGACTGGGCCTGTTTTTGAGTGCTTACTTCTTGTAGTGTAGTGTTACGACGGCGTATCATTAAATGGTTTAACTAGAAACGTAATCCGTTAAAGATTTTTAAGGAATGTGACAAAGAGCAGAGGCGCGCATTTAGTTTGAGGTCTAAAATACATTCATATACAAAATATTCCTTAATTTCAACACGCGTGGACACCCTTCCATTTAATAGAACTATTTGCAATTTCTTCAACTAACTCTCAGACTTTCGAGGGGAGCAACTTATAATTATAATCACAACCTACTCCGTAATCAAATGAATGATATTCAAATGAGACAAATAGCGAATCTTATTTAGACTTCTCTCTTGTTTAGTCGTCTTTAAATGAAGTAGGCAACTTCGTCAATATAGCAGCTTGCAGGCGGCTCACGTGAAATTAAGTGATTAACTTCGCCCATGGGCATTTACAACATCGGATTGCAGAAACGTTGCCAATCCCTGGCTACCAAACGTTAACGCGAAAGTATAACACTTCCACTTCACGTTTGTCTTCTGTAAAGTCATCGGACTTCCAGGCGAGCCTGGCCATTTGTGCACGTATAACAGTTTTATAGCGAATTGTATCAATAATCAATATTCGTCTATTATATATGTATTTTATTATATATACATTTACCGAAAGCGAAGAGCCACCAGCTGGCAACACAGCCGCAGTCGCGACGCCGGAGTCACGCAGACGTGTTTGCCCAGCACCCGCGCCGGGATGCACAAACAACGCCGCGCCTAAAAGCCCTTCCCGCTTTTTTTAGTCGCCGCATTCGATCCAGTATCGCTGCCGAGCGCTGCTTCGCTCTCTGTGTGGTCTACCGTACGCAGCAAGCCGTCGACGGCCCTGAATACAGCCGATGAGTTCACATACTCCGAAGTAGAGTCGAAGAACCTTTAAAGTTAATGCATTTAAAGTTAATTTAACTGGGTCTGTTACTTTCATAATGCTTACTTATATTTTGCACGATAATTCCGGTTTTTTCATATTGTAGTCGTACAAATCGCTTCATAGAACGCAGTCACTATAATTGTTAACATTGCATTTTATTACTTTGATCTTCACGCCCATTGGTTTTGGCACTCTTAAAATAAACAAGGATATTATATGATTTTATAAAACTATCAAAACGAACAAAAGAACAAAAAAAATAATCAAAAGATCCGTATCATTTGTGAAAATTTCCCAGCTTCATACAAGAAAATCGATATCCATTTAATGTATAAGAAACATGTCATTCACTGTGAACAAAACATCTCAAACCTAAAAAGTGTAAATAATAATATAATTGTGTAATACGTGTAAATAAGGAAGCGCTCAATAGTAGAGTGATAATATTATTCCAAAACTAGATAACATGGTTGCTTTAACCACACACAGCGTAATGCGATGGCTGGGCATACGTCAGATTCTACTAACATCGCGCTGTGTAATAGTAAATTCCGCACTGGATTCATTCGCCAGTTATAACATGATAGGAGGCGAGGAGGATGAGAAAAAGTGCTTTATGTTATTTTATACTTGCAGCCGGCTGCTACAGTGGCATTGATCTAATTATCAAAGCATCGAAAGTATTCAATTGATGTTTGTAAAGAAATACTAGTATAAATCTATATATATATATATATAATTATATAATTATATTATGTTCAGTCTTATACCAAAAACCATTTATTAATTTTAATTATACACAAATACGAGAGAGGGAGCGCACCGAAACTGAGGCACTTACGGCCAGGCCAAATTACGTCAATTGATGTGATTAGATTGCAATTCTTTAAACTGCTATCTCCTTCCGTATCATACTTACAATATCATCTGTCACTTTCACTTATTCATAAAATGTAAAACAAAAATTAACAATTTCTAAACGCCGCGCAGTATGGACACGCGTCTTCTTTATCATTGCCAATAACGACGATTGAAAAAAATGAATGATCAAATATTTGGTCGGCTATTTTTACTACTAAGTCGCATTGCAACTCACACTAAACCTGTAACTTTAAAATAAGCACATGTCAAAAAATTTATCCGATTTCCCCAGAAGGCTAATACAAAGAAATAAAACGGTACAGCTTTATTTATACATCTTGTATCAGCTCCTTGATTCTAAGATAATTGTTTATCATTAGTTTATCGACCAATTTCAGCGATGAACCCGGCTTAAACACGACAACGAATAGACAACGATTATGCGCTTACTGTGTACAACTACAGCACCGTTACGACCAAACCATAATCTAGCAATAAATAAATAGGCAGTGCACGAACAAAAAATGCTTCCATTTCGCTTTGAACCCTTTGTCCAGAGCGGCAGCGTATTATAATTGAAGGCTGCGATTTCGTGAAGGACCGGGCTGCGTGCACGCATGCCGACTGGTGGACGACGATGAGACGCCAGCGGGGGGAGTTGGGAAGTCTGGAGGGGTGGAGGGGGGGGGGGGGTGTCACTGTGCAAATGCACTCGTAAACCCGACGCGGGGTCAACGCACCCCCTCAACGCAGCCGCGTCCGCGCACCCTTGCCATATTAAGAGTTCACAACTACGTCACGTTGGCACCATTATAGACCAGGTTTAGACGTCGACATCGGTATAGTCGAGTCCTTCGCCTACCATTGGGACGGGTTAAATATACTTTTTTCTTTAATCATCATATAAACACCGTCCACTGCTAAGCATAGGTCAAACAGACTACCACTAAGCACGATCTTGAGCCACCTTTCCTTCAAAGAATTAGTTAAATATTTCAAAATCGCCTTAGCTTCCTTTTGTAACATTTGTAACATTTGTTTCATTTGCCAATGAAACAAATCATAATTGCAAGAAACCAATGCGGATTATATCATGACAAATTTAACGGGATGTTTCCTTGCACAAGAAGCTATATTTAATTATAAGCCTTTAAACTTAAACATCTATTACTTTAGAGGAATTGATTATCATAAAACTGAGAATTAATAATGACTAGTCGTTAGCCCGGATTATAATAGTACTAAAAGATAAATAAGGAGATGTTTTATGTTTCTTACTAGATAACTTGGATTAATTGATTTTACAGTTAGAACAAGTTGTTAGTACTAGCATTTAGTAAATAATTAAATTCAGAACCACCTCAATGCAATAGTATGAATAATAACATGTACGTGCTGCGTTTGAGTTTTAGATGTTGGACTCTTTCACTATTTTAAACACCGGACTATCGCACAATAGAGAAACTAATTCGACATAGATTATAGATTAGGTTATACACTAGTGCGACCTAGTGGTCGCCTAGAGGGAAATTCGACCATAATTAATTACGTAGTAGTAAGTGTAATGATTTTTTTCATTAATTTAATGTACTTTTATGCATAATTTAAAAAAAATATATTAGCATTCTGCACTCCTTCTCTATACAAACTATAAGTGTGGTAAATTTCATACTTCTCCGTCCGCGAAATCTTCGTGAAAAGGGATACAAAGTCTTTGCTTCACGTATTAGTATATAGAAGATTATAGATTTCCAATTGATTGTTGAGTTGTATAGAACTATTCGCAAGGTGCTGCGTAGCTTTGCACACTTTTCCGCGCTTTCTAATCGCTCGGAGCCGGCTTGATGACCAACTTTCCACTATTCGAGCGACCGCACACAAACACGTGCTTAGAATAACGTTATGTGGTGTCAATTCCCTCCTAAAGTCTGAATAAAGGCTGTAAACTTTAATTATTACGTGGTAGAAGGCCACCAACCCAGAGATTATTTGGAACAGTTGCATTGTTCAAATAAAATTACACTATCCCGTATTCAGAAACATTTTATATACGCCATTACCAAAGAATAAAATGTACATTTTCGCGGCCCTACTACCAAGACTTAGTTTACTTAAAGGCTGAATTTAAACCGGAGAGTACAAGTTTGTTAATTAAATAAGTCGAATTTCTTACTTGAAGCATGTCCGTCTCTTCAACTTGGACTGGGCCCCTAGAACAAAGGCGACGCCGTACAAAACGGTGAGCGTGTTAATGCATTCAAAAACAAGCCCGGATGAATTGTTCGCCGACCTGTCACGGAATAACTCACCTGCGCATTAACGGCTGCCAAGTAAAAGTTCCATTTCCCATGAAAGCAATATTGTCGTTTGCCGTTCACTTAGACGCGGGTCTGCTAACCCTTAGGCTGGGTTCAGATACCTCACAGGTTTAATCGCATGTTATGGGAATCACTTCAGATATGGTATTAGTTTTACTGCGCTTAAGTGTTGTTTTTGCTTCCCATCGGCAATAGATACGAACGAATAGTTGGCCTACGTCAATTATCTCCAATAACTGTAGCGCTTCAGTGATTAAATGGACTATAAAGTTCACCATCGAGATTTCATTACAGCTAACCATTCATGAGATAGTTATGGAAAATAAAACCAATTCCGGCACAAATCTCTTACCACAGCAAGAAGAACTAAGTGTTTTATCAAAAAAAACACTTCAAAAAGTAAGGCTATACCTTCGATTCTGAAGCTATACACACTGTATATAGTATCTATCTATAGTGTGTATAGTTTTTAACTATACACACTATATATAGTCACTCTATATCTTCTGAAACTATAACAATGGCACTATACTTAGTTACACTAAGTAGCGTTGAATAAAGATTAATCCAAAAGGGCATATACTCGAAATTGTTTAAAGTGTTTTTTAAACAACAAGCTATGAACAGCATTTGGTTGATGCATTCTTCAATAGAGAATTTACTGACATAAAATTGAAACCTTATTTTTTAGATTTTATCGTGTTTGTTTTAGGTAATGTTCGAGCTACAAAGTAACTTCATTTTTGACAATATATAGTATAAATTTAAATTGTTTATAGTGCTAATCTTTGCACTTAAGATTGAACATTAAAATATGTAGAAAAAGTGCTATTCTTATATGCCATAAAAACTATTATTAGGGACAATAATGTGCCAACGTCTATCCTTATTGCTGGCAATAAAGTGCAGTAGGCTGATGGTGTTAGTTTAGAACGATGATGACGTTGATAATGATGGTAATTAAAAAAATTGTAAAACTTCTATACGTTCCAATTAATCTAATTGCCTTGTAAAACATATCGTGTAAATAAAATAATATATTTTTCAATAAAAACCCTTGCTAAGGAATAAAATTCTTTAAAAATTACAGAGAACTTCCACTGAGCTTTTAATGCAAGGGGAAATATGAATTGTAAAGCAATACGTTGGGATTTTTTAGTGCTTTCATAGCGAGCGAACGAGTAAAATGCACTTAATTTTCTTGTTCACGTTTTTCTCCCTTTTAACTATTTGTTTGACTACGTACGTAGACAGGAAGCTCCTCTCTGCTCGGACTTACAATATTTATGCAACACTTGCTTCTCTTTATAAAAACTCTTTACAGAATTTATACGAGCATATTAACTTATATTTAAAAATATTAAGTCGTTGGATAATTTCTTTTATACGTACATAGTTGATTTTAAGGCAGATTTACGGTATTAAAACAATTGAGACATACATGTAACATAAATATATTATTTTTTTCACATAACACAGTTACGTGTAACAGAGAATTACAGGTTACATTAAACGGGTTAAATTAAACTGATATTTCAATTAAACTATAAGAGCAAGGTTTCTATTTGATATTTATTTAAATGGGATCGAGATCTTATAATACCATTTTCAGAAAGATTACCAGAACGACAACGATTACGATTAACTGAAGTGTAGCCAAAGAAACTAAAAATTTACCCAATTTGTCTACATTGAAATGCAGCGATGAATGAACTAAGCAGGGGCTGCTGCAGTTGTATGATTGGGCTGGATCACAATGGATGGTACCACAACCTCAAAGGAGACCGGCTTGAAGTAAAGTATCAGAAGTGAAGTACAGTATACATTTCACAAAGCTTCGTAGAAGTTGTCAGTAGAAGAACTTGTTAAATTGGCGATACAAATATACCTTTCACCATTCTGTCCGTTGATGACTTACCGTCATGCAAACCCCTCGTCTAACAGCCTATTATTTGAAATATTATTATATTTCCAACAGTCTTCCTTTTGCACCTTTCTTTATATTCTGTACTCTCTGTTTGTCGTTTCATAATGAGCTTCTATATATTTGTTAGATACATATATGACACATCTTCTTTAAATCCAATTGAAAGTCAAAGTCAAAATTTCTTTGTCAATATAGGCTTATTTTAAGCTCTTATTGAACGTCAAAAAAACTACCACCTGTTTAATACACGAGATCTGTCGGGAGAAGAACCGATAAGGAACTCTTCGGTCTTGTTTTACATTTCCCCATCGCTTTACCCGTACGGATCTTAAAGACATGTTCTGTTGCTTATTTACTGATTAACGCGTGGTTCCATCAGTTTCATTATATAAATATCGGAAAGTAGAAGTGCCAATGTGTGGACGCGTCCTAGGGCACGGGTCGCCGTGGAGTCAAATAATAGAACGTGTATTGTTTCTCGCGCGGCCGTTCGCCCCGACATGCGTTGGCGCTCGCCGTGTGAGCGCGCTTGCCTGACAGCCGCCATTACCCCCGGTTAAAAGCTCACCGACGTAATTAGAGGCACAGTACCGTGACCCCAACAGCGGCAATCGTATGAAATTGGACGACCACTGGGCATATGCTTTGGGACAGACGCTAAACCCTTCAGTACCAGCGCATGGAATGGGCTGGCAACAATATGACACGTACCACGAGTGTCTTGAGCCACTCCACTCATCCACTCCACTGCACTGGAGTGTGAGAAGTACACTTGTTGACCGAATTCATCTCCTTATTGTTTCAATGTTGAAAATGTTGACCATGAAAATTTCAAGTATAAATAACCCCTTTTATTGCTAACAACTGGGTTAAGTTTCCTGCTTCTTTTTAAATCTATGATCAATAGTTTGGGACAAATAATAAAGAAGCTTGGAGTGGACAAGGTGATGACCGGGTCAATTCCCGCAGAGGTATTATGCTCGTGCGTACAGAAGTTAACCTGCAGTAAGTTTATACATCTTAAAAGTCGTTGGACACTGCAGGATAGTTAGTGGTTAAATAATTACTGACATATTTTATATTTCACATAAAAGCACTGCAAATGCATAAAAGCAGCATTAACTGCCGATAACAGACGTAACATTATGGAAGGAAAGCGTGGTAGCGGGAGATCAAGGATAAACTATGTGTAAAAAAATAGAGAGGATAAATCTTAAGCCGTATAGGAAGGTATAACGGCTTTGAACAGAGAAAGATGGAGGGTGTTGCACAGCTGAACTGACATGGATACTGCACCAACCAAGATACTACACAAGCCTAGCTCTTAAATTAAAGAGACATAGACAGAGCCAATAATATCTCCATTCAAGGATTCGGTCCTGCAAAGCGAGCAGCCGGATTGCATATTTCAATTTTTATTCAATAATAAATGTTTGTTAATTAACGTCTGTAAAACCTGCGTATCTAGGTGGAGTATGTAGTACTTGCGTTTGACTAGTTCTAGATTATCGACGTTTCATTTTTTCATATCTACCTCAAACTTCCGCGCGGGAATTCCTTATGAACTTGTAAGTGCCTCCGATGGAAATGGGCTTGTGTATTTTAACTGTCAACAGCGGCCTTCACAAAAGATGGCTTTCGAAGATACGCTCTGTGATCTCGGATGCTGAATGTGTGATATCTTTACTTAGGACGGCGCTGCTCAAACTATCATCTCGTTCCTTTATTGGTATTACCATATAAGTTTTATTTATTTATTTATTTAAAAACATAAGTAGTTTTGAAAACATTATTTCAACTGGAATGTCACGATTGCAATTGAACAGAAATAAATAAAGAAATTGTAATATATATTCTTCCAATATTAATAAGGCGGCATTCCAATGTTTTAGATTCTTTACCATTTTATTATTTTTTATGCTAGAAGGTGGCATGTTAGCTGGCGGTTAATTTGATGTTAAGTGATAACCGCCGCCGATGGACATTTGCAACACCCGTGTGGTTGCAGATGCGTTGCCAACTTTTAATAAAGTAGGTCCCGGCTACCTCGACGAAATCTACCACAAGCCTACCAGAGGAAAAGCAGAAGTATAACACGACGTCGTGGAACTTCCCCGCATTTGTGCAACAGTTAAGACTGTTGCGTGACCCTACCACAGTTAAATAAGGTGGGAAATTGTTGTATACAATCAATGTCAGTAACTTAACAATATGAAACACAAATTTGATATTTTATTATGAAAAGATAAAATTAAATAAAGATAACGGACTTATTCATTTTGATAATGCAATCGGTGCAGTTTTAGAAACGCTGGCTGCAACTTAAAAACCGTCAGCATGTTTGTTCAACACCGAAAACATTTATTTTCGAAGCTATTATAGCTGTAATAGGGATTGAGCGGCACCTTCGTAATTATATCCCCCGCGTGCTATTTCCTGTTTGTTATTTCGTTACTGTGATAATTTCCCGTTAACCTATATTTTTGGAGTAAAAATAAAATACACTCAGTAGCATTATAAAGCTTAACGTTTGTATGAAATAATTCTAAGCGTGTTAGTTAGGTACCTAAACCGTGACGGTTGAATGGATTTGAAAGGAATTTTAAAAAATGACACTCCCCTCGTAAATCGTCAGGAAAAGCAAACAGAGAAAAGGTTTAGCACCGGACTAGTTTTGAGTAAAACAAATTTTTATTTATTTCAATATTTAAATTATATTCAATAGCACACACATGTAATTTGTTAAGTAAAGGTTAGGTGGAATAAAAAGGTCACTTCTTACTTCGCTTTCGTAGGCGTCATTTCCTCAACTGGTAATATCCTCCGACGCACACGAACACTTTATTGAGTCTAGATGGAAGGCAAATTTAGATTTTACGACAACTCAGTCCGTATATCGTCCCTTGAAGATGTTTCTAGAAAAATCAGTCCTAGAAAATGTAAGAAAAAGAGAAACGACCGGATAAAAAGCGACATGAACAAAATTGTTTCCAGAATCACGTGTTCGAGACGTTTCCTTTGAGGAACGTAACACAAATAATCCCCTTATTGTGTACGAAATGAAATGTATCAAAAACATTACCGCCATATCGATGGACGGGGGAAAACAATATTACAGATTAAATGTTATAAGCACGTGTATACACAACCGCTTGGGTTCCTTACATTGATTTAAGTTGGAAATGTTTAAATTATTTTTTGATATAATCTTTACATGTATAACTCTTCTGTACGTGTATATGTCACTGAACTCCTATACGGCTGAACTGATTTTAATGAGAATTTATGTGTGTGTCTTCAGGTCGATTCGAGTATTCGGTCCACTTTTTTTTAATTTATTTATTTATGATTGTTTTCGGATTTCAGTCGTGTTTACACGACAACGTTTCTCGTGTCCGCTAGTTTTATATATTTTTAATTCAATATATTCGAATACATAACTCGAATATATATTATATACTCGAATAAGCCGAGTTCAAATTTCGATACCGGTGATGAAATTGATAATTGCAATAATTTAAAGAGCTGACTTGTGACGTGATCACGGCGAAGGAAAACATCTTGAGGCAACCTAAATATATTCGAAATAATTATAGAAATAAATATTTTGAAAATATGTAAAAAATAAAAATATAAAAATAAATATATGAATATAAACGGGTGGTGAACTGTCCCAATACCTCCCAAGAGGCCTGCTGACTCAGAAAAAGGACATGAATAGACTGTTCTCAATTCGACTGTATGTTTGTTTGTTACCTCAGAACTTGCGACTGGGTGTAACGATTTTGATGCTTCTTTTTTTATTTGAAAGCTGGTGCTTCCGGTGTATATAAAATATTATAATTTTGAAGTGTAATGGATAATACTATCGACATCGTGCATCATTATTAAATTAACGAGTAACTATATAGCGTCGAAGTGAAATACTAGATTTTCGTCTGGTGCTGATAAATTTCTTTTATTAATATCGTTTTATTATTTGTTTGGTTCGAAGTACTGCTCCAGAGAAGAGGACCCCAAAAACGTAAGCGGATTGATGCCAACTTTGTCACGTATCGAGTCGATAACTTTGCCATGTAAAACGTGTGTAAGGGAAAAGATTTGCGGTTTGCGCCGCCCCCAGCAACAGACGACTTACCTCGTTTCCCGGGAAACATTTTTATAATACGTGATTTCACGTATTATATATTTTCATTCATCAACGAAAGTTATGAAATATTAAGATCTTCTGAGAGTTAGCCTACTTTTTATATACAAATATTTGCTAATAAATATTATACAGTTAAATATTTAACATAAATACACACACATAAAAAAAATTAACATCGATATAAAATATTTAAATGTAATACTACGTAGATTTTACAACTTTCGTTGTAAAATCGACTAAATTATTGATTAAAAAAAATATATAAATTTCATATTACCTTTAAACCAAATAACAAATTGTAGAAATATAGTTATAATCATCATCTGCCCTTATCCCATTTATTTGGGATCGGAACATTTGAAACATGTTGTATGCGGTTTTGGCTATATTTTTTATGGCCGGCCACCTGCCTGACAGGAACCCTAATTGGGAAACAAACACAAATACCTTGTCCCGTGTGGGAATCGAACACGCGACCATGACGGCTAAGCCAATTTTACGTAAAGTATCACCGATAAATGACACTACTTGGTTTTTTAAATTTTAAATGACACTATTGGTTTTGGAAAAATTATAGAGTTGTATCTAAACTTCTACTTTCTAGTAACATTATAGATGTAACATTATAATTATAGTCAAAGTTGACTTAGATTTTAATAAACGAAACAAAATTTTTAGAGTAAATTATTAGCGTCTATTTAGGCCGGTAATAAATTTCTCTATGACTTGAAGGTTGAAGTCAAAAACTAGTACTTATATATATTTATTTATTTATTTATTAAGGTTCATCAACACATTGTTAAAAAAAGTCGTAAATGTTCTAGCAATTACAGGTGAATACAGCTTTCTTAACATATACCGTAATTAAAATAATGAAATATCTAACTAGTGTGAGAAAAATGTAACAAAACTAAAATTGTAATAACGGTTATAATATAATAATTTCGCTAAAAACACTTAAGGCAACTAAAACTTATATTTATCGTTAGTCCAATATATAATCTAAGATTGACTTTTTAAATTTTTCCAAGGACTTACTTAAATCTAGATAATGACTTTTTGACAAAGTGCAATATACAGAGTCTTGCTAGTGTTGAAAATTGGCTGAGATTAGTTTTAAACGCTGGCACAAAAATAGATTAAACGATAAAATTAAAAGCAGTCGAAATTAAATAATGAGGTTATAATACTAAAAACCGAAATTAAAAATCATTAATTTATTCAGTCTAAGATATGATTAATTATTAATTAAAAAAAGATTTTTTTAACCATTTCACTGATTTGCTTAATAGACAAATCCATTCATGACAACTATACCTCGTCTAATTATTATTTGCCACTTTTGAAAAGAATTTTACTTTATTGCCATGCCATCTATTGATCAAAGCCTCAACAACAAAGTATTTTTATCATTTGATGAAGCAGAAATTAAGCAAAAATAACGCCATCTAGGAACACGCCTTTTTACTAGTAAAAAAAAATTAAACCTTTTCTAATACGAGTTGAATATATAAAATTTAATTATCTAACTTTGAAATTATCATTAACACTATATATATATATAATTACAATTCATGATTAATTATGAACAATGTGTAGTTTTATTAATTGAAGATTATGAACTTTGACAGTCTGTTTGACAGCTTGTAATGTCATTGTCAAACGGTGGTCCGTTTAGTTTTGCGTTCATAATTCTGTCAGTGTCATCCGTGTGAGTGTGGGTGAATGATTGTCGATATCGCGGCGTTTTGTATTCAAAATCGAATTGTTTATCATTACGATTGTATAAAATTACGCCGTTTGATAAATGTAAATCTAGTTACGGTGGTCGTCGTATTCAATTGCTGCCCAGTTTGAATTTTTCAAGTCTCCTTGCTTCATAATATCGCATGTTCTATTCTTTTAATTATGTTACGATATCTAGTGAAAGATGGAAGGAAATCTCAGTCGTTAAATAAGCGTGTCGTTCTGATGCTGTCGAGCTGAAAGAAATATGATTGAAGTCATCAGAGATTAAAGAAAAAATAAATAGGTGTAAGTATAATCTACCCGTTAATAATTGAAGATTAAACTATACTCGCGCTTAGAAGATGATGTTAGTACTGATCATGTTTTTTATCATCTGACATTGTATAAAAACATTCACATTACAAAATTGTTGTTTAAAGTTCACAGAGGTAATATCTTTTTTATTAGTACATCACATTACACAAAATGTATTTCTATCCTTAGTTTATTAAATCAAAAATTATATAACTTAATAAAAATTTAAATTTTTTATTCCATACTATTTTTCTAAACTAACCCACAATTCACCATTATTTCGATACGGTATAATGAATGAATTGATTGTATGTTTTTGTTATTAAATAATTAAATAATTACTGTCATGCCCACTTCTAACTGATTTAATCTATTTTCAAGGTATGCAAATGCAGATATGGCTGCAGATGAGTCCAGTGTTCGAGTTGCAGTCAGGTTAGACTTAGCTAATTTTTTTTAAATATACATAAAAATTAATGAAGATTTGGGTTTTCCCTATAAATACCTATTAGGAAGAGAATGTATTTAAATCATGTTAATAGAGTTAGGTACTTCTATCAATTATTACACCCATTGTTTACCCCATTTATTGGTTTTTTACCAATTATAAAAATATCCCAGCTATGATTTTGCTTTAATTGTAATGAGTTAATTGTTCAAGAGTTTATTCTATAACTTTCTTTAATAATTCTTCAACAAAAAAGGTTGGAATATATCAATAGGCAAATATTATAATGTTATGAACTATTTTTTAAAACATATATTAGGCGCAAGTTTCTTCCATATGTGGGAATAAAGTATAAGATTTACAGTTTATTTTATACATAGTTTACAGGTAGAGTTTATTTTATACATTGTCAATTTTAGCAGTAGGTAGCAACAAATCTGTCATTATTAATGTGAATCAGGGTATGAGAATTAAGCATCCTTAAGGGTAATTGAATTAACTATTGTTTATTACAAACAGCAGCTCTTGATGGCCTTATCTTAACGACTTGACAGTCAGTTGTGGTAAGTTATCTAAGTCTTTATTGATGATCAATTGTGGTTAATTTGTTGTTAATATTTAATTTCAAGTCTTGGCATTCTAAGTGGTAAATAGAATCTTTATGGGAAATAAAATCTAATAAATAAAATGACACAGTTTAAAATTTACTTAATAGTGTTAATACAAGATATGGAAATGAATACATTTGTAAAACACATCATTATCATGTTCCTTATTTGTTTTTTTTACGTGGGCGATGGCATTTGCGCTTTTCAGAACATCAAATGTCAAATGTCTCGAAATCGATTGCACGGAGCTTTCGTAATTTCTTCATTCAATTTAATTTTACAAGATTTGTACTATTCGAATTGTCGCTTTAGTGACGATTTTATAACGAAATATTTAAGAATAGCATCAACAACTCGCCTCGGAATATTTCGATAACGAAAAATAATCTTGTCGTCTCTCTTGCCCTTAGACCCCACCGGGGTCATCAAAAATAGGTGAATTATGTTCATAATGGTATTGATTAGTTTCCGGAAAACACCCAAATGCGGAACAGTTATCAGTGGGCCCCACAAATCCTTGTAGGTATCGAACCCACGATCACTAGCGCCGAAGCCAATAGCTTCTGCCTAGCTACCTGTTCATCATTGAAAAGAAAAAGTAAAGTAACAACCTATAAATGTCCCACTGCGGGGCAAAGGCTCCTCTGTAAAAGGGTATCAGGGCATAGTACACCGCGCAAGCCGAACACGTGATTAAGAAGAATACCTAATATATTATTTTATTTATTTTAAGAACGCATTTTGTATGTTCGTATCAAACTATGTTCATAGTGGATTCAGCCGTGGCGTAGAGGAGCTTATGGTAGGTATGTAAAAGACCAAATCCACCCATATAATACACCTCGACCTCACAGAAGATAGGTGTAACAAGTGTATGAATCTGAGAAAGACGCAGAGCATATTATTGAGAAGTGTCACACTGGTATGGAGGGAGTACTCCATCATATCACCTAGTACGGAATAGGTTCTCTATTAAATTCTCCTTTCGGGCACGCTCCTAGATATAATGGCTCATTATACGACCAACAATTTTTTTTTTTTCAAACAAACAATATCGCAGATACATTGCTGCACCTAGGTCTGCACCCCAAGTAACCACTCATACCAAATAGACCTATTGTTGTGGAGATTAGTTGCGAAATTTCTTTGTTTAACGAACAAACGACAGAATATATTTAGTACTAGTTTGGTAACATTCTAAAGAGATTTTTACACGTGATGAAACAAGGTAAACAGTTAAGCTTGCACCGTTCTTAAGTAATCCTTACGTGTGAGACGTGCTCGGTCACAGTTCGTTTGTCGAATAACCGCTCGCCTCTCGAGCCTCTACTGTATTTGCATTCTCAGTTCACAAGTGGCTACGCGAATATTGATCAAGGCGCCTGTAGATCTACTCCGAAAAACGACAGACCTATAAGTTTCGTCTGAACGATGCTCCGAAACGTTCAGATTTTTCTTATGGCGTTTCGGAGTAGCCTAAATGCTTAACGACAAAAGCAGTAGCTTTTAACTTTGGAAACCAAGCAAACGTTTTTTTGTTTAAGGTTTAAATACATTTTATCTATAACTGATAAGCCAACATCATTGCCCTAAAACGACATCGTAAACTATAGTCAATACTGGTTACTAAGGCTAAGTAATTGTCTAATTTTTACTACTGTATTAAGTGAAGAAAGATATATACAACTATATTAAAGCCACTATAAAGTATATCTGTATTTAGAAAGAGAAAAATAAAATTTTGTGTTCACTGTTAATAACTGCATGATTCGTACCTGATTAATAATTTCCGCTTCAAAGATCAAGCCTGTGATTGATAACTTTTTCTTTATTTCAAAATTAATATTATCTAATTATATTTAACAACAGTAAAAAAAACCTTTCACTTAATGCAGTGGATTAATATGATTATGGATAAAATTTTAAAATGAAATAAAACTATATAAAAAAAGTTTTTAAACCAAGGCAGTTAACCGTAAAAAGGAACGTTGCTTTTATTTATCTGTGAGTTATCAACGTAAGTAGGCCGAGTGATGTATTCAATGCCCCCATCGTCCAAATTTAGAGAATTAAATATGAAAATAGAACAATATTTCGCAATGGACGTTGTTTATTTTCATTGCATCCCAAAAGCGATACGGATTGTCTCGTTTGAATGCTTTATGTTCATTGGCCTTCTATTTATTCAAATGATTTTTTTTCGTAGAAAATATGTCCAGTGATTTGAGCTCGATTTTGGAATTTGTAAGCGTCGTTACAATAATTCAAACGTCAACAAAATGTCCTTGTTTTTTCTACAGCATGAACAATTTTTCATGTAAAAATAGTTGCATCTATTCAAAGCCAGTTTCAACTTCGATATGATGTGTATCATTTTTACCTAACCTGTTTATTGACTACTTTATTTTCACATGTTTACTACTTTTACACTCTAAATTCAAAGGCACAGATCCCTACACTAGCTTCAAACAAAAACGGGTAAGAACGTCTGTTTATGCGAAACTAACAACACTTACTATTGTCTTTGCCTATTGAGCGAACAGACCACAATGTACAGAATATAATAATCTCAGTATTCCTTTTTCAGTTCCTTTTTCCACTGGCCATTAGCATCTATGCTTGAACAGTGAACACATTTTAGGCGTCATATCTATTAATAGTTAATGCTCAGCGGCGAAGAAAAACATCGCGAGGACAACTGCATATTTTCGAAATAATAATAATAAAAAAAATATTATGAATCTACCCATCCGCAGTGGGCTCACGTTGTGGACCACGCCCTTAAAACCTTTCGTACAAAGGATACTTTTGCCCAGCAATGGGACATATACACATATGCCCTTCCTTTGCATAAATTTCAATCTATTTATAATTAATACATTTTTTACACTTGCAATATGAGAAAGCTTATGCCCAGCAGTGTATAGTGGGACATCCACTGCCTCGTAAGCATCTGTCCAATAATTTCTAATATACTTAGAGGCGTAGGTAGCTTGCGTTACACATGACCGCCTTAGGAGCCTCATTACATCAAACGTTTGTTGCGGAAAATATAAGTGTTAAAAAATATTTGCATAGTTTGTTACGTGCCGTAAGGTGCGGCGTCTTACAAAACACTGTGAGGAACTATTTAGCAGTGGCACAGATTTTTAAATATGGACTACTGGAAAAATATTTTGTGCTAAACATAGTGTTTTTCTAGTGTCTGGGTGTTTATATATGTGTAATATGTATTTCTTAACAAAAGAAAAGTATGTTTAAGTATGTTTATCAGATATCTAGTACCCATAGTACAAGCGTTGTTTAGTTAAAGACTAGAGTAGAGAACGTTGTGTAAAAATGTGTCCTAAAATGTTTATTTATTTATATATTGTTCGCTGTGCTGCCCACAACAGAAACATTCTCGTCCTGTACGCGTTTAAATTAGTCATCGTTTTATAAATAATTGACCCGCCATAGACATTTCCTACGCTTCAGTTTCAAAGAAAATATTAGATTGATCATTCACCTCATTGCCGAAATCGCTGCTCGTTAACATCTCTCATCGCGGTTTTATATTTATTTACGTCTTCCGCTGACGTTAATAGTCCTCTACTCAATATATTTACGCTCGATCGTTCTATTATTCGTTCTATCGGATATTTGAAAATTATTACGGCCGCGTATGACAACTGTTTGTTTATTAACTGTTTACTCTTGCTTTTCTATATATACGACGTTATAAACCTGCTCCACTGATGTTTGTTTAAAAAGTGTGTCGATCATATTAGTAAAACAAAGTAAAGTAACAGCCTATAAATGTCCCACTGCCGTGCAAAAGCCTCATCCGTACAGGGGTTATTAGGGAATAGTCCACCACGCGACCCCACTGCGGATTGGCTGACTTCACATATTTTCGAATTCTTCTTTTGTTATTATTTCGAAAACATGCAGGTTTCCTCTCAATGTTTTTCTTCACAGGTGAGTACTTAATAAGACAGCACTTGATATTACCAATTTCATTGGTGCTGGCGCCGGGATTTGAAATCAAGTTGCTCGTTTGTATTGAATTAAAATCGTGCGCCCGACCACTGAGCTATCACCGCTCGTTCAATTTAATGTGTTTCAACACGTCGATGATAACGTCTTTGTTTATTCCACCGTGTAGGTGAGCCTACAATGCCATGTATTTAGCATATATTATGCATTATTAGACATTAGTTTCCATCTCTGATGTTTCACTCAAGCTCCAATTGCAGCAATAGATAAAAATTAGAAATACTAAACTTTTAGTTACCATTGAACAATTAATATGTTGAAATGACCTAAAGAAAATAAGCAGTTAACTAGCATTGAATACATTTTTGAAGTTCAGTACTAAATAATTAATTACGATACTG